GGGGGACGCCATTTTTTACACGTGTGTCACAATGGATCGGTGGACTTTTATCTGCAAAACAAATCTACCTACAGGTACAAATAAATAACCTGAACCTAAATAGTTTTTAGGTCTTGGTTTCTTCTTTTAATAGTACACTCAAGATGCTCAGCGCTTCCTTTTTATAAAATCAAAGTCATCACCTGTACCTTTCCCCCATTCCATACATATTTTACTTTGAAATTGTACATGAATCCATGAGTATAACAGAAACACATTTATAATTAGAGGAGTCACAGTCTTCAGGCGTTCTTAAACCCGGTACATTTTACAGGCCTGAGTCTTATGAAACACTGTACCTGGGACATGAACTCATAAGCTACAGTCTCGTGGTTCTCAAAGCCGATCTCCCCTGCGGCCAGCGCCCCCTGCAGGAAGAGGCGCAGAGGCAGCTCCGCCAGCTCCGCTTTGATAAGAGCACTGATGGTCTGATGTGCGAACGAGAAGATCTTCTGACACTTCTTCTCCCACTTGTCATCCTGAAGACAGACCGATGTGAAGGCATGAAACAGGATGGAGGAAACTCTAAACACAGTATGTGAGTTAGAGTGAAGGACAGTTTGCTCACCGATGAGGAGTTCTCCTTGTATCTGAAGGCCAGCTGGTAGGGAGCGAACACCAGGGGGGGCAGTGTGTAGCGGATCCGCAGGTTCCCCCCCGCACCAAAGTGTTTCCGGGCTGTGTTCAGGATCTGACCACAAAACAAGAGTTAGACCTAACAAAACACACTTAGCAATTTTATCTACCTCTGGAACAAGCTAAACTAGTTATACATATATTTATTTTTCTGGTCATTCATTACTGGATCAGTGAGCTGCGTGAGATACTGACAGGCTGTCAGGAGAGGGAGAGAGGGGGAGAGAGAGAGGGAGAGAGGAAAAGAGAGCACTTCCGCTAATTTCTCCTGTGTTATTATCCAAAGTTAATGTAAACTTGAATAATGTACTTCATTTGAATGTAATAATTAAGTTGGTTGTTGTTTGTGGAAGCTCCAGTGAATTAGCCCCATTAACTGAGTTCTAAACATCACTTTAAATGGAAGATTTCAAGTGATGTTTAAATCTTCCATTTAGGCCCCGCCCACTCGATCGGATCGGCGATCGGTATCGGCCGATACTGATTCCAGCGATCGGCCCCAAAATTGGCGATCGGAGCATCCCTAACAGAGTCAGTTAGAGATACACACGTTTCAGATCCAAAGACTGCTGCAGAGTTTCACATTCTTTAAAGCATGTTTCCACGGCAGCCACTGATTGCATTTGTTTCTCTGCGATATCAAAATCAGCATGTAATCCATCGCAGTACACATCAAGTCTGAACTGGTGGAAAAATACTTTAAAAAGGAAGCACTGCAGCAAGACTTCCTAAAGAGTCAGCAGTAACACAGTAGCAGATTAGTGTGTCTATATTCATCTGTCAGGGGGGGGGGGCCCACCAGGTACTGTTGATCCGGATCCTCAGATTTGAGCAGGTGGATGAAACGTCCCACAAGGCTTTGCTCCTCAGCAAAGTCCTCTGGGTCAGGGTCATCAGCGGGTTGGTCCGGCTGGTCCTGGATCAGTGTGGATACCAGGGACAGGATGGCGTCCACCTAGAGAAACAGCGGGGGAGGAAATTAATGTTACGTTCTTTTATTCAAATTCCTCCCTGATTTTGGCCGGTGGAGCACTGTGATGAGGTCATGGGTCTCAGTCAGAAAGTCACAGGAGTAAGGGGCCAAACCTCATCAACTGAACTCAACTACAAAAGGGCCTTCATTTTGATTAATAACCTAGAAGCACATTTCTAGAAAATGTACCCTCAGTCAAAGCATTATATTGTATGTGTCCTGTACCAGTGTCACGATAACAGGAGACAAAGAACATGTAAATATGTATATTGGTATTAACAATAGGCCAAAGTAGGAGTAATAATTTGGAAATAAAACCAAGTATCAATACCAATCAATAAGGGTGCTTCCTAAATGCTGCGTAGTTACCCTGACAGTGTAACGATAAGATGCTCTAATGATGACAAAGCGAGTTTAGATTGGTCTCGTGCTGCACACACCAGCAGCTGGTTATACCTCAGTGTTTGCATATATAGTCGCCACATTAGCAACAGCTTGTCGGGACAGTTTTACAAATCTCCAAATGTCTTTCTTTTTTTCCTGTACTTGTGAGGCTGCAGTGACTTCCTACACACTGACAGGTTTTGATGGAGCAGCGCTACAGCGTATACAGTTTCATGGTCTACTAGACTACATTTTGAGGCACAACTGTAATTGAAGGGATCACAGATCTAGGGATTCTACTCCAAGCAACAAGGAGGTAAGACGGACGGTGAGGTGAATGTTCGTAGTGGCCAAACAGTGGTACTGCACACCTGTTTCATTAAGGGCCCAAAAATGACATTCGGAAAGTGAAATCTGGAAACCAGCAGATTATTTTTGACCTGAATCCACTTCCCATATTAAACACTTAACTCTTATTAAATCACAAGGTTTTAAATTGTTTAAATGCGCTAAAAGCCGAATACGGAGTTATTCAAGACAGACGTGACACTGACGTGAAGGCGAGCGGAGGCGGGGCTTAAGGAAAACACTGCCCTAGTTAGTGTAGGCAGTGGTTCCCAACTGGGGGTACGGGGACCCCTAGGGGACTGGAAGGGAGGGGGTTTGTAGAAAATAGGGGTTGTGTCACACATTTTTTTAAATCAGTTTTCATAAGCCTGGTATCCTGCCCATGGAACTATCAAACCTTATTAGAGACAAGCAAGCTAACCTAACCCTCATTGAGAGACAATGAAAGCTCTAGTCTTAACAAAAGAGGTTGAAACTGCTAGAAGTGAGTCTTAATGTTATTCACTTTCACTGAATAATATATATTTAAAAAAGTTTAAATGCATTTGTGTAAAGGGTGAGTTATTCAAGTGATTTTCATCTAATGAGCAGTTGGGTTAAAAAGGATTACAAAGGGTTTAACACAAGATAACATGTAGGCGAATCATCACAAATGTTCTTATAGAAGGGAGAACAGCTCAAGGGGGACACAAGACAAAAAGTTTGGGAACCACTGCTGTAAGGGATCAAATTAAAGCAGGACTTCTTGGTGTACAATGCTCCATGTAGTGCTGCAGGGGAAAATGTGACGTTAAACATACACCACAGTTTCGTATGGCGGACTCCTGTTGCCGTTGGCGTCAGAAAGTCAACTCTAACAAGTAGGGGTGTAACAACTAATCGACTTAATCGATTAAAATCGATTACCAAATTAGTTGGCAACTAATTCAGTCGTCGATTCGTTGGTGACGTCATCACATGTGTTCTACACCCCGTTAAGCTCCAACGTTATCGCTCTTTTTTATCGGTACAGGAGAGATTTAAAAACATATGTCATATGTATTATTGCTACATAAACATTATATCGCAGTCTTAGTGTCGCCAACTCAGTTTCTAATATGCAATATGACTACAAAATGCGTCTATAATGTATTTTCGATCTTCCCAATTCAGACGAGCGATCTCTCCCCCGCCTGCTTGCGAGGGGGCGGGGCAGTTTACACACAGACGCAGGAGATGGCGGAGAGAACGCGCTCCGAGGTGTGGTTAAACTTTAGCCGTCTCGATGTGGACAATGCTCGTTACCAAAAGTGCAATAACAGTTTATCATATAAAGGCGGTAAAACGAGCAATTTGTCTAAACATTTAGCAAAAGTGCACCACATTCAGACGGAGGAATGCACCGGGTTCGACTGTCTTTCTAGTAGCTCTGTAGCCCCGTCCACGAGTAACGTTTCCACGACAGGTGTTATGTATGCTAACAGCAACACACAGAGTTAACTCAGTTATAAAAACATAGGTTAATGATTAGAGGTAACTGAGTTATTTTGTTAAAGTTTCAGCTATTCTGTTTACAGTTCTGTCATCACATTATTTAATATGATTTGTTTCTTTTGATGTGAAATATTATGCATTTAATTAAAATAAAAAGCAATGTTAGTTTTGTTCACAATTTGTTTAGTTAGTTTACCTTATTTCTTGTCAAAAGAACCGTTAATACTATCGTTAAAAGGACCGGATCGATAAGCAGTATTGATATAAGTAGTAGTACAGTTAAAACTTTAACGATCCGAATAATCGATTAATCGTTTCATTAATCGATAAATTAATCGATTATCAAATTAGTCGTTTGTTGCAGCCCTACTAACAAGAAGAACAGCTAAAAGGGTGTGATAGATAGTCTAAGGTCGCATTTACACCAGCCTTGTATAGTCCGGTTGAATCGAACCCTGGTGCGTTTAGCCGCTTGGTGCGGTTCATTTGGGTCGGTGTGAACACAGTCCGAGACCTCTTAAGTGAACTAAACAACCGGACTCTGGTCCGCTAAAAGGGGTGGTCTCGGACCGCTTGCTAGTGAACTCTGGAGCGTTTCATCACTGGTGTGAACGCAGTCCGCACCAAAACATAGGAAGCGTAGTATTTACGTGTCACAAGTTGCTGTTGATATGCTCTCCAGATTAACAGCAGCATGAGAATAACCTGCCGAAAGTGCCGATGCTCCATGGCGGAGGCTCCGGTAGAAATTGCCGGGTTTTGCGTTTTTACCCCCTTAGTGTCTGACCAATGGTTGGACAGCATTTCCGTGCACATGACTTGTGTTTAAAGTTTATAGTTTGTTTGAGTTTTGCCCGTTTGAACGCAAACCGAACCTTCTGATAAATGTAACAATGTAACAAACTGTGGTCTGGTGAGCACCAGAGAAGCGGACTATTCGGTGTGAATGCGACCTAAGACCACAATATCCGTCTGTCCGTGCGTGTGTGTGTGTTTGTGTGCGTGTGTGTCTGCCCGCCCCTCCTGTCACAAAGCAACAATGCCTTCAGAGCTGAACCAGTGGTGAGGGTCTGACCTGCTCCTGGGCCAGGATGGTGGTGTTGTAGTCCAGCGTGTTGCTCAGCACGTAGCAGCTCATGCTCTTGCGTGACTCGAAGTCGAAGTACTCGAAGAGCGGAGGGAAGTGTTTGAGCTGCAGCACCGTCAGGACGTTATTGTAGGTGTCTACCGGGATCTTCAGCAGGCGGGTCAGCTCCTTGGACACTGCGCTGCTAGTCGCTATGCTGGAGGGGGGGGGAACCAGAGAGACACATGAGAGGGAATGCAGGCCAGGCAAAGAGGCTAATGATCTATTTTCAATTATGTCAGTGATAACAACATGTACATGGAGTAACAGTGCTTCATGAGTATCATTTCTGATCACTGTCCAACTTTATTCTCCCTCCTCTCTTAACAATTACTCTTTCCTTTTCTGTCTCTCGTCTGTGAACACAAACGTCTGTCTTCTTGTGTGTCAGGACTTTGAGGACTTACTGTTCCAGGTTGAGCTTGTTGAAGATCTCCACAGTACTCTCCAGGACTTTGTCTACGTAGTCCACACGGTCAGGGTAGCACTTCATGGCCAGGTTGATGAGAGAAACCTGCAGAGAGACCACGTCCTCTGAGGGCATGTCCTGGCGAGACTGGAGGAGGGTCAGAGAGGGTGAGGTTAGTCCAACGTTAGTATTGGTGGTGCTGGTGCTTTTGTGAAACGTATTACTGTTAGTACAGGCTGCTGCTTCACTACTTCAGACTGTAACGTCACTATTGATATTATAACAGTGATATCTGCAACATTTATTTAATGAATTACAGGATTCTATTTATTTAGTTTTATACTTATTTTAACCCTGGATATGTTCTTATTTTGTTAAAGTGTGCTTGCATTTTTATTTTTCAATTGATCTGTCTCTTTGCTGTAACTCTGTGGGACTTGTAGAGGATTTCTCATTCTAAAGTTAAAGCCCTGTCAGATTGGGAGGGATAACCCCACAATAATTAACATTGAATCATATTTACTCTATCAAATATTACACTTACAGCAATTTGGATATTGAACTAGGCCATTTTGCAATTTTGATCAAATGTAAATGACCTGTGCAGACCTAACTATTCAACACAAAATAGTGTTTCCTTGTAACTCATATGTATTAAATATAAACTACACTGTATATGACATGAAACCTTTAATATCCAAATGTGAAAGCGTGAAATCATACATCAGAAGTGTTAAGGTCTGATGTAGTCAGACTGCTGCTTTGCTACTTTGGATGTGTTTGTACTGATTAATGAAATGATCTTTTAAACTCAGTATAACCTACTTGAATGACGGTGGCTACTTGTTGAGAGAAGATGTCGAACAGTTTGATCTCAGCTGGAATGCCGGGCCCGTCTTCTCGATGAGCGAACAGAGCCAGTCTGAAACAAACAGAAAGTGAGTGCATCCACCAACAGGCAGCAGAGCTGGGCTCACACATTTTTCTTTAACGAGTCACTTCACACTAAATCCACTTTTTAATTGTTCATTGACCTTATTTTCCAAAGACGCAGTGATACTCTCACAGTGAAAAGACAAAGCTTATTTTGAAATTAGCTACGCGAACTAGCAGAGAGGCTAAGTGTACCTGTCAATGAGGGCAATGATGATGTTCTTGACGTTGACGTGTTGGTGGAGATCAGCACAGGAGCGCAGGAAGGGGTTGAGGGTCTGAAGGTGGAACTCGTCTGGGAAAACCTGACAACAGAAGAGTCTTTTAGTCCAGGAGGGGAGGGCTCTGCTGTAGCAGGGTGTGGAGGGACAGTGGATTCTACATACACATGGATTCAGTGCAATCTGTTCTCCTCCTCTTTCTTCAACAATGAAAGCCCCTACCAATAAGTGGAGTTCCATTAACAGAATATCCTAACATGTCCTGAAGATAGTTACATTTGAGCATTCAAAGATATTCTTATAGAGGGTTGAACAACTGTGCAATGAAGAGGTCCTCGTTTCCCAGGAAACGGGGGGACAACATCAAAAAAATTGTTTCCACCAAATTGTCATTTAAACATTGGTACTATTAACTAGCCCTTTTATAGATTGCCCTATGTTGTTGCCTATAACATTGTTCATATTGTACTTGAATTTAATTATTTGGAATAGACTTGCATTGGATTATGCAATAATGAACTCAGGCTTGGGGGGGGATGGATTACAAGTACTGGAATGACATAATCATCAGACAAAAAAAGGTAACTGCATTCCTTTAAGGTGAAATAAGACAAATGTTAAATCAGATTACTGGTACGTTTTATAAAAATGGGGATAACTAGCAGGATTACAATTTTACAATACATTTACAAATAAAGATCAGTGTACCATAGGTAGACGTCAATTATGTTAAATGTCTTTTTGTGGACAACTGATTTATTCAATAAAAATATTTTAAGCTTTTAATAAAGTATGAAACTAAAACAGAATTTGTAAACCATTATTTTGTATACCTAGCCTATCATTTAAGATGACACATTTTGATCCTAAATATCTTTCTTTCTTCTTTTCTATAGTCACATTGTTCTGTTGTCTTACATAATAAACTTCAGTCAAAAAGATTGTATTGATATTTATTTTCGCTTTAAAAAAATGTGCATTGCATTTGATATTGAGGTTATCCAAAAGCTAACGGAAAGTATTCAGGTTACTTTTTGACTTTGATACTCATATTCAGACTTTTACAGGTTACGAGTAATCGTAACAGTTTACATTTTTGAAGTTACCTTCCCAGCCCTTCATGTACTGTATACTGACGATAATAAAAGCTGTAATCTCCGGTGTGTACCTGAATGATGCACTCCATGAGATACTCCTGAGCCAGAGAGTCTCTGCAGTTTACCACCTGCTCCAGCACTCCTGAGAGAACAATCTGGAGACACAAACAGCAAACACATACACACACAGGACAAAATGCCCTATAAGCCAAATGATTGTACATTTGTGTCTTTGGATTTTGCCGTAGTGAAGGCCGAACCATCATTTTGTTGTCTTAGAACAATTTAAAATAACCAGACAAATCTGGCCTCATTTTTGTTCGCTCTATTAAAAAAGTTGTACACTTTGACATAATTAATTTCCCAACCTTAATGACTTGATTGTGCACAAACCTGTTTGTACTTCTCCACGTTGACCCCCTCCAGCTGGCTGAGGCGCACCAGGTTGGTTCCCACCAGGATCCTCAGCTCCTGCCGCTCCTTCTCCCTCTTCTCTCGGTCTCGGCTGTGTCCCTGGTGCTGCATCCTCACCCACAGCTTGTTCATCTCAGCAAAGTTGAGCAGGACAAAGTCGATGGAGTCGTTGATGTCACCAGTCATCTCCTCTGTTCCCCTGAGATCAAAACATGAAGAGTTTAGAGCAGTATTCAAAACTAAAGTCAAGTTCCCTTTCTATCCAAAATGGAAACGAGAAGCGCAATATCAACATCATGTTTTGTGAGCAGAGCGGTTACGAACCGATTCATGAAGTTAATTGTGCCAGTCTTCTTCGAGTGTTGTACTTGTACATTAGTCTTATATTTAGAAATCCCAAAGTAAAAAAATAAAAACAAAAGCTTTTCCTGTAGCTATCCCATTGTGATAGTTTAAGAATTAGATTTGTACATTTCCTTTTTTGGTATTATGTTAACTTTACATTCATTCTCCAAAGTATTTCAAATTCAGATTGTAAAACCTGTTTTAGTATTTATTTTCTCTCCCTGATTTGCTGTGAACTTGGTTAAGACATAAAAGGTGCTGCTTCACAGGACTGATGACTTTTCAACATCTTGATGGTAGTATCGGGATGTTGTGGATGAGGGACACTCAGAGAGGCTGTCTTACTCTGGCTGCTCTCCATCGTCTGGCAGGATGTTGCGGGTGCACTGCAGGAGGTAGTTTCTGAGGAAGAGGCCCCTGAGAGGGTGCTGGACCCCCCGGCACATCTCCACCAGGTCCTTCAGGATGTCCTTACGGGACTGAGGGAAGGAGCGCACGTACACCACCCCCACAGTGATGAGCAGGTAGCTGGGGAGGGAGGAGCGTAAGAGGATTGATGGTGAAAGACAACAGAAATCTGTATGAAGCCTGACATGTGCAGTATCTATGAGAGAACATGCTGAACTTAAATGGAGTGAGCAACGTTACGCAAAGTATGTGAAGAACATACCAAGTATGAATAGTGAATCAACTAGAAAGCCATGATGCATTTGCCTGGTATTGTTTGAAAGATAAGAAGCTAATGGAAATGAATTGAGGTGCAATAAAGCAAATCATATTCATATGTTTTGCACCTAGTATATAATCACATTTTTGAAAGAACAAATATCAAATAGTATTAATGGAACTAAATGTAATCTGCTCCTCTTCACTACAACTTGGATTGTACATTTGATTAGCTTAAATCCAACATCATGACAGCGTATAGAAATATACACTCGGGGCTCTCCTTGCTTTGGGCATCTTCACTGTTAACATGTTTACACTTTACTGGGAGTTTTATTTCACTTCAATGGAGCCATTTTACAAATAACACAAACATCTATGAAGTATTAACAGGTTTGTCATTTTGTTAAATATATGCCTCAGTCCTGGAAGACTTCCCAATAACGCTGCCCTCTCCTGTCTCTCACTGCCCCAGCCTCAGCATCCCTCATGTCCATGTAGTCATTCAATTATGTCCTTCTCTGGCAAACCTAACATATGCCTGATCAAATATTTAGGAACGAAACAGATTTGTCCTCGTGACTGTAAAATGTCATAAATAAGTCAATAAAAGGGGGCAAATAAATAAATACAGTGTTGCCTTAGTGTGCATTTAAAGGATCAGAGTTGTTTGTTTCCAGCCAAACCAAACATGTTATTGTAAAGAGGGAATAACTCAGATATTTTAAAGACAACGTATATTGGTTATGGTCATGTTTGATGTTGGTACTCACAGTCTGGGGATGATGTTGCCTGCGTACTGCACCAGCTCATACAGATCTGCCACCTTACGTCCTTTGGCAAACTCATCAGTCAGATACACTTCCAGGTAGTGCAGTTCATCAGAGATAGCCATGTCTAAAGGGACAGTTAGGGAGCAGTGCACAGCCTCCATGGACCCTCCACAAACAACATAAGCTCATTATTGCAACTGCTTTAACCCTCCCTCAAGTTTCTACACAGGCAGTGTTTGGCACAGTACTGCACAGCTCACCAGAGTTTCAGCAGCACTCAAACTCCAGTACCAAGTCACTGGAGTTCCACTCTAGTATCTCCAAGACATATCGCCTGTACTCTACTATGTTCATTGTGAACAGCCCGTTATAATGATAGAGGGGAAACAACTACCGTAATTTTCGGACTATAAGCCGCGCCTTTTTTCCCATTTTTCGACGCTGCGGCTTATATAACGGTGCGGCTAATCTATGGACTTTTACAGCTAACGGCCACTAGGGGACCTCCTAAATCTATGGATTTTACAGGTTACAGTCCACCACCTTTAACTCTATGGGCTCTATGGCCGGTCCGCGGACCCCACCTTTAAGCGGTGGGCTCCAGCAGGAAAAGCTGGAGGCCGGAAAAGAGTGAGACAGGTAGCGCGCAAAAGTAAAAGTGGAACCGAGAGTGGTACGAGAGACAGAACGAGAACAAGACAGACAGACGTTACGAGAGCGAGACAGTTTGTCCCCGTACCACTGGTTGAAAACCGCTGCTGTAGATCACTGCCGGTACGTGCGCTGGGAGCGCACCGTTTAAGTTTGAAAGTTGAAAAGTTTGTGTGTCTGAAATGCTATGTGATACAGTACAGTTTACACAGCACAGTACATGTTCTGTAGCTACTATTGCACTAAATGGTAACACTTGAATACGTTATGCAAATATGCAACTTGTTTGTTGAAATGTTAATAAATGGGAGCTTTCCTCAAGCAGCCATCTCTTTCCCGACAATCCCCTCTGTGCACGAACCCTTACATATGGTAATTAAACATTAAAACACCTGCGGTTTATCAGTGCGGCTTATATATGTACACATCATTCAATTTAGCTGCTGCGGCTTATATTCAGGTGCGCCTTATAGTCCGAAAATTACGGTAGTCATACAGCCTAAACAAGTCACGGTCAACTTCTTAGAAGATTAATGGTGAAACATTCAGATATAAAGAAAATGCTTTTGTGGCAAATCTGTTCTTTCATGATCAGCAAGCACAGCTCACCTACACTGGCTTAAATGGAGACACTGTCCATAAAAACAAGTTTTGTCAGATGCTTTTCTAGGAGACAGGCCAGCACTAGTTATTATACAGACAAACATGTTTAGATAAGATTACATACAAAATGTATGTGATGTTACAAAGATATATGTGAAGTGAGCACAAATGTATCATAGCATTGCCATATGTCCATTTAAGTGACATTTCCAACATGCATACATTGTAGCTGTTGAGGATACAGAGCTCATAGTAGCTCTTTGGAGACAGCATGGAGGTCCGGAGCTCCCCAAGCATGTTGGAGGCGTGCTTCAGGGCATCCATCAGCTTGTTCTTGTCCTGCAGGAACAAACCAATCAGGCTGTTAACATGCACAATAATCACACCTGGGGCTCAACCCTAACCCTTCAATTGTGTTGTGTTTGTCAGATAGTTTACATTTTTTTTCTTCATGGTCAACCTTTATATTTTCACTCTTATAGTTCCGTTTTATCTTCCATTTTGAGATGTTTATTTTCTACTCTTTTATTTGGAATGATGTGCAATACTTGTTTTACATGCTGCTGAATTGAAAACATGTCCTACTTTGGGATTGATAAAGTATATCTTATCTTATTAAAACATAATCATGCTGTCGTCACTGCTGTACTCTACATGCTGGTTCATTTACTTCCCAGTGAGACCACATACAAGGACACATTTTTCTTTACTTTAAATACTCTTTTAGCAACTTATTGTAAAGCATGCCCATAGCACTGACATGCATTCCTAGGTGTTTTGTTTTGAATATGGGTTAACTCCAATATGTCCAACAAATATGTACAACCATAAGCTGTAATTTATTTTAGGCATAAAACTGAACGAGGGGGGTCACAAGAACAGGAAATTCAGTACCATGCCAACATTCTGTGTATGTGATGGTACTCTTTATCACACAGCTACCAGGACGATACTGACGTTGTACTGTCGCCCCTGGGACGATAGAAAGTGTAATTGATTGCCCTGATAATGCTACTCTGTGAACAACAAATCCTTGTTGAGAATTAGCAGCAGGAGAGAAAGGTAACGTTAGCTGTGAGCTAGTAGCTGTAAGCAGCCGTTGGAAACACAGTCCTGCTTGGGTAAACAATAGAGCTAACATTTAACGTTAACAGAGCGAGGTTCCATTGAATTACATTATGACGCCTTCAAACGCCATTTGGCAGAGGAAAATTATAATATTTGCAGTATGTATAAATGTTATCTCGTAAAGTGTAGTAAATGATGAGAAACTCGAATTGAGTGTTTAAAGTATTTGACATATGAAACAGTTTTTATAGATTTTAAATGTGTTTATTGTGATGTGTTCAACTTCCTAACCCTAGCTCTAAATGTAAATAGTTTTTTTGTTTATTACCGTGGTACCGTGAATAGGATATAAAGAATCATGTCATTTGACTGGTAATGGAAGAGACTTCTACATTTCTGTTAGGGTGACATCCTGTTGGCTATAGATGCTCAAGGTACACTAATGTCCTTTGATGCCAGTTGATGAACCCATTTCCATAAAGAAAACTGATCAATGGAATAGAAGACGTGCCAGTATGTCCCTGATTATAGGTCCTAAAGGCAGGGTAGCTCACCAGCAAAACAGTGGGTTTAAACAATTATTCAACTAAAACCATATATTTCACATACTGAAGCAACCTACCAGGCATCGCTTCATCTGGAAGGACTGGACCTTCACAGCCTGCACCGCTTCATCCAGAAGCTTCTCCTGTTCGTCCTGGGGAGACTGCGAGGTGGGCTGAAGACCAGGAGATTAAACACAACTTATTTCAATCTTGATTTACACTGTGATGAATAAATCAATACAGTCCAACAGTCACTTTAACCAGTGCTGGAGAAGTACTGAAATGTTTTACTAAAGTGATACTACATTTTAAAACGACCTGGTTACAACTCAAAGACCAGCATTCAACATTTTACTGAAGAAAGAGTACTGGCATCGAAAAATATAATAAAAACATAAATAAGTTTTAAAGTAAAAGTACTCATTATGTGCAATGGGAAAGTCCAGAATCATATACATTAAAGGTCCCATGTCATGGCCATTTCTACTGATCATATTTCCATTGTTGAGGTCTACTAGAATAGATTTATATTGTGCAATTTTCCAAACTCACATTGGTTTCTCATACAGTGTCATGTCTAAGAAACTTATAGTGAAAGTTTATTCTTTGTTAGTTTTGTCATGTCCCTTTGCCCTGTCCTTTATGTTTATCCCCTTAATTAATTCTCCCTCTCATTTCAGGCCTCCACGCTCCCCGCCCCCTTCCGTCTCCTGCGTCCTTGATTATTTTCCCCGCCCTGATTGTTTCCACCTGTGTCCCCTTTACCTGTGTATATACGGTGTTAGCTCCCTCCTGTTCATTGTCAGTTCGTTGTCTCTATGACCTACATTCCTGCTTACCTCACGGACTTCTCACGGATCTATGTTATTGATCATTGTTCTAGTTTTCCTCGAAAGAGTGTTTTGTTTTGTTTTGCTTGTAAAGTCTTTATTTTGAAACACTATCCGAGTCTGAGTTTGAGTCGTGCAATTGAGTTCATGCCTCAGAGTTCACTCCTTGACATACACTATCTCTGTATAGTATGTGTATTCACTCTCTGTCCTAAACGGCTTGATGATAAACAGAGGAGAATGCTGCGTGGGGTCTGGGTGCCGTGTTGGCGGGACGTTGCGAGGCTCGCTGCTGCGAGGAGCGGACAGTGTGAGACAGGGTCGGCGAGACAGCGAGACAAAGCGAAACCCAGCCCGACACACACACACACACACACACACACACACACACACACACACACACACACACACACACACACACACACACACACACACACACACACACACACACACACACACGAAATTGGCAGAGTTGCAGCTGAGAAAAGATTGAGTGTGTGAGGAAGGACTTAACCTAACGGCTCCGCAGACGTAACGTAACGGCTCCACGGATTGGTCCATTTGGGCACGTCACTGTACCCAGGAAGAAAACAATGGAAAAAGAGAAATGTCCAACGAGGTGTTCTGGGGCAGCATAGAGAGGTATTTTCTGTGTTAGAGTTTTACTCGCGTCAGGGTGTGCTTTGAGGGTTTTTGACTCTGCAGACCGTTTACATACAGAAAAACCTTCATAACACACAAGGAGACGGGTAATAACCGGGAAAGCATGACATGGGACCTTTAAGTAGTGGATTGTGATCTTTGATGCAGTAATGTGTTCATCACTGCTGCTAAATGAGGAGGTCATTTCAATTACTACTGCTGGATATCCTATGGTATAATTATATTTATTTATAAGAGTATTTTTTTGTATTAGTTAACCATTTAAATCTGTAAATTAGCAAAAGTTGTCTAAAAAAAAAGTTGATAAATGTAATGGAGTAAAACATAAAGTAATGGCTTCCAAAATGTATTGGGAGCGGAAGTGAAAAGTAGCATACAATGGAATTACACAGTCCAAGTACCCCACATTTGTACTCAAATAGACTATAATGCTACAGTAAATGTACTTAGTTTCATTCCATATCTGTAGTTTTAATCTAGTTAAAGCAGTTGACTGGACTGAATTACAAATGGAACCGTGAAAAGGACCTTATCCACATCACTTTAGGTAAATAAAATAAGAACATGCTTGATACAAACTTACAGAGTACAATTAAAACATACAAGACATGACAATGTTTTATTTTAATGTATTGACTTCCAAAACACTGGCTGCTGCAAATAAGTGAAATACTCGTCAACCCCAATTCCAACTAAAGCCCACATCTAGCGTAAAGACAGCCTACTGTTTACGGAGGACGTATACATGTCCGCAGGAACAATGTGTGTACAAATAGGCATTCTATTGTACGAACACTTATGAAATAATATGGTTTATGTGTTCTTGCCTTATGGCATTTTGGGAATGGCACCGCTGCTAATCAGCTGACATAGTTCCTGCTGTTTATCCGGTGCAGGCCATAACATTAGCTCAGTAAATGTGACACAGCAGAGCGGAAGAGAAACGCTAGGCTAACAACAGCTAGCCTTACTGTTACACTTCTTTAGTCCCATAAATCTAAAACAGGCTACACTCACTGACCCCATTAAACTGTATCATGAGACGGAATATCAGGATGTGATGAATGTGCTTTTGAATACAATACAATTAAAGTAAAACCACTAGCTTCTGGCTTGTTTTCAGCTGCAGTGTTAGCCTAGCCAGTCGCTGTCTGACGCTGCCTCAGAGGCGTTAGGCCACAGCAGCTTCACGTACAGCCTTTACACCAACTGAAGGGACACACTGTATGATAGGTGTTGCATTCAACGAAACCGAACACAAGCAGGCAAACAGAGGAAGCGTTTAAATGCATACAATAATGCTGTATTTAGAAAACTTCTTACCATGATTATTTGATGTGTCTCTGCCTGTGGTCTCTGCTCAGTCGGAGAGGCTGCCTGTCATGTGACACATTAATGCTGCCTTCACGGTCCGCATTCAGCTACACCTCTCAGGGGAGGCGGGGCCAGTGCACCACATAGACTGTTTACTGTATATAAAGTGTCCTACCATAAACTCTATAAATGAAGTTTTACACCACATAATGTATATTTAAAGTGTAACACCATACACTCTATATATAAAGTCTAACACCATAGAGTGTATTTAAAGTGTAAAGCCATAAACTGTATATAAAGTGTACCACCATCACTGTTGGGGTAGTGAAAAAAAAAAGAAGTAATGCATTACATGACTTTTACTTAAAAAAAGTAATGACTTACTTCACTAAATTACTCACTCTCAGATGGTAAGGTAAGGTAGATGGACAGTGGCGGCCGGCCCATAGGGAGGCTAAGGGCGCCGCCCCACCTCTTCCCACATTACAAATAATAAAAAAAAAAAATATATATATATATATATATTTTTTTAAAATATATATTTTTTTAAATATATTTTTTAATTAAAATGTTTAATGAACAAGGTAAATATTAAATAATTGGTATCAGTAAAATGTATAATCTACAATAAAATCTCGTTTAAAATGGTGTTACGATGTCTAAAGTTACTGATAAGTCACATGTTTCCGGCCTGGCCTTGCCCGTGTATCATTACCCTCTCTCGTCTGGGCGCAAGGAGAGGAGCCCTCAACCAGTGCAGCAGCAGCCACTAGCAGCTGACTGTTGCTATCTGTAAGCTATGGCTCCGAAACATAATTTCAGCCAATCAGCGTCGTCAAATCTGATGATCACCGGGCGCCAATGTCAGCGCCCGGTGCAGGGTTATGGCTAGAAAGGATCCGTCTTGTGTAAAACTCTCGCGAGAGTTTGCGAGTCACGTGGCTGAATGTTTACGTTTGACAGGCAGCCTTTCAGTGACGATCGTTAACATCAGTGGGCCACAGCAAATGATGGTGAGAAGCTAAACTATCTATTAATTATGTCAATTACAGGGAGTGTGATTGTAACTGTGTGTTACTAGCTGGATGCAAAGAGGTAAACACTGTCTTTTGTTTCCCATGCTTGCTCTTCAAACAGCCGGGGACAGATACTATGTGTCCGTGCTAAATAAACACACACACACACACACACACACACACACACACACACACACACACACACACACACACACACACACACACACACACACACACACACACAAGTTTTGACAGCATCCATCAAACTAGATGTTTTGCCTTAATGGTCTGTTTTCTAATATTTGTGTTTCTGAACCACGTCTGTGTCTGCATATAATGTTCGTATTTAGTCTCCTCAGGGTTCCCGCGGGGTCTTAAAAAGTCTTACATTTGATAATCTGAATGTAAGGCCTTAAAAAGGTCTTAAATATGACCAAAAAAATAAGAAAGGTCTTAAATATGATTTAGAAGGTCTTACAAATGATCAGATTTGAAAGGTACTTCTGTGTTGCGATAGCGTCTAAATGTGTTTTGGGGGAAATGTCCGGGCTGCAAAGTAACCAGTACGGTAATAGCCTTTCAGTTCCCCCCAACAATTTGTATTGAATTAAATCAACATGGAACCAGTAATCACTAACTTTGTTTCCCCCGGCCCCTTATTGGAGAACACCCAGCTAGTAACCTGGCAACCAAGCTTCAGCTTGCGGCAGTCAGAAACTCATGTATCTTCGAATCTACTTACAAATTAATAAGGGGAAGTGTCAGTTCAACCGTATTTGGTTGGAAAACATCTAATTTAGTGCTTGGTTGAAACCAGTGGAGGGGAACGTGTTTGAAGCCCGCCGCACCATTTGCAAAAGAAATAAGCGTTTGTTTTGCTAATGTAGCGTTAGCCAGTGGAGCGTTAGCTAGTGCAGCAGCTCCCGCAACAACACCGGGGGACCTCCGGGCGACGTTTGGGTCTACGTCAACCCTAAAAGCGGAGGTGCTGTAGACGCTAAATACCATAGCTAAACACCAATCATACAACAGCAACGATGAAATAGTGTAGCCAATTTAATTTAAGGGATAATTTCTCAAAATGTTCCCCGTGTGGTTTATTCACCATTACAATAGCCCCACCTAAAATAATTTCCACTAGCCGCCACTGTAATTAATGTACTTATTGCAGCAGTATGCATAGATTTGGTA